GCAACTGATGGACCAGGGAAATGAAGCGAGGATGGTCCTCCTGGAAGCAACTCGACCGGACTCTGATCTGGCGGCCGCAAACCTGAAGACTCAGTACCTGGCGATGGCCCAAGAATTTTATCAAGCTCTGTGATCTCTTCCTCTGCTGATTTCCTCGACGTCGCCTTCTTTTCTTTTGCAAGTTTGTCGTCATCAAGCTTGCGCTTCCTCTCATCTTCTCTCTTCTTATAAGCGACAATGTATCTTTCTGCACGTTCATGAACTCGTTCCACTCTAGCCTTACCATCCTCTGTTTTGCTCAACTCATTTGCAATCCTCGCCTTGCAAACTCTGCTGTGCTGACGATGAGCAAGTCCACTCTGAGCTGCCAAGCAACCATCACACCCTTCAGTGTATCCGAACTGCTGCAACTCCACGTCACGACGGATGTAGAGACCTCTTGGCACATAGTCCCTACCCTTCAACTTCACCACCGGCTCGGGCATTTTCGGTTCCTCCGATAGCTCAATCTCTATCGGTCGCAAGGGTCCTGGATCTGCAGTCACTGGTGGCTTCAACTGCCACGGCAACCCAATCAAAGACTCCAATGCTTCTTTCTTCCACTGCTCGTCCCTGGGCTTTCGCTTCACGCTCCAAGCTCGCTCAACTCCTCGATCCGTACCAATCCACTTCAAAGCTGTGCCGTCTTGCAAACCCAGATACACCCCATCTTCAAAACGAGGCTCAATCTTGGCAGGATTCCGTTCACCTTTCAACCTCTGAAAAAGAACGCATTCCCCAAATGCAGGAAGCTTCAGCTGCCACCGTTTCCCTGTTGACCTTTCATAAGGAGTTCTGCCATCTTGTCCTCTACTGAACCTGGATAGCAAAGTCCCTGCATAGTCGATCAACCAAGGCAAGATTGGATGTCGAGAAGATATGGCGGCCCCATAGTTAGCCTCCAAAGCTGACTTCAAGGTCCGACACATTCCCTGGAGCTTACCCACTGCATTCTCAATGGGTCCATTGGTCTCACTCTCCCCTTTGACAGCATCTTCAAAGCCGACACCGGGAAGTCTCGCCTGAACCTCATTGCGAAGCGCCACTAAAGACCGTTCTGTATCAGTCTTCAACACTGCATCTTGCAAGCCCAAACAACGAAGCAACTTGACAACAATGGTCACTGGATACTGATGATCTGTAACCCCTTTACACGGCATGGCCACTGAAGAAGTTCTTTGTGACTTCTCCTCCAAGATCGCCAGAAGAGGTAAACATTCCTCCTCCCGCCGTCCAAGATAAAAGTAGTCCATGCTCACCCGAGGCCTCCTCCTTGCTTTGTCGTCAGCATCCTCTCTCACTCGTTGATGTGCTAGTGCTCGTCCACGGCCTCTAACACAATGATTGCACCAACTCCTATATGGCAAATGAGTAACATTGTGCTCATCCACCTCCTGCGCACTCGGCTTCAAGGGTGTGCTTTGTGCGATCTTTTCGATCTCCTCACCCCCACTCAATTCTCCATGCAACTCCTCATCGACACCTCCCGCGGGTGCCTCATAGTCCTCCCAGCCCTCTGGGAAATAGTCACTGGTGTCTACGTTCAAGCTCATAGGACCTGCACCATAAACATCAGAACTTGGACGCACTGCTAATTCATGGGCCTCATCACGAGCCGCTGTTGTCTCCTCCTCGGCCTCCTCCGCGTTCACTGCATGAATGAAGAATGACCGATCAGGACTTACAGCATGTGCTGGACTCACCTCTAGATCGCCGGAGGCACAATCCACGGCGCCGGCCCGCTGAAACCCTCACGTGATGGATGCACAACATGCGTCCTCTGCACATAGACACCTTCTTCCTGGTGCAACTGCATTCGCTCTCCTGTCTCAATTTCCTCAATCCAACTGTCCTCCCAATAGGGTGCCAACAAAATCCGATGACCACGATTGGCAACCTGCGCAGCAGACATGAGGACCTTGTGTACCTGAGCAATGCTGAACTCTGTCCCCCTCACCTTTCCTTCCTCTGTTACGATGAGGGGCTTCACTCGATACAACTCTGGAACAATCTCTCCATTCGCACTCAAGAAACTCACACCGTCAACTGGGGCCAACTGCTCATGCTCTGCAAAAGCTTCTGCTGGGGCAACCGACGCTGCAGCTCCTGAATCTACCGTCACTGTCAACGGACATGCACCTTGAAGATATTGCTCAATGCGACGCTCCATCTCATCAAAACGTCCCTGCTCTGCATCTGCCACAATGCGCCTTGCAATGGCCTGTGCCCTGCTCAATGCACACAAGTGTTTGATTGTCAAACTACCGATGCTCACTGGAGGCTTTGGCAATGCACTGGAAGCTGCACCTGGCGATGTCGGGGACGATGGAGTGGAGATCTGAACAACGGGCGCACTGGGTGCTGAGGACGATGATGCTCCTGTCGATCTCAACCGCTGAAACTCTTCCACAGCAGCCTTGGCATAATTCGACTGCAACTGAGACAACAAAGGCGAGGTCTCCTTATCAACTGCGTTCAAGGGCTTGGGACGGCTCCAACACTGATCCTTGTAATGACCTGTCTTCCCACAATTGTGGCAGACCGGCTTGGCTTTTCCTCCACCTTTCTTCCCTTCAAAGCCTTTGCCTTTCCCTTTGCCCTTGCCGCCATCGGGAATCTTGCCCTTCCCTTTTCCTCCATCCTTACCTCCTTTGCCTTTGCCCTTCTTGCAATCCTTCTGCATATGAGGACCTCCACAAATGTAACAACCACCTCCCTTGCTGACACCAACCGACCCAACATCCATTGTTGTCGACGCCACTGGTGCCACCTGCTCAACGTAACTCATGACCTCTTCACGAAGTTCAAGGTATGTGGTGTATCTTGCGGCGTTCATATGCAAGTGCTGCTTCAAGGCATTCGGAACCATGTGAACTAATGCAGCCATCTTCATAGCATCAGAAACACGATCGGCTCCTGGCCTCGACTCATACTGCACGATCAGGTTCTCCCAATTCACCAACTCAGCCGCCAACTTGTCAATGCTGATCGCTGCTGCCGGGTTGGTGATCTTCATAAGATCAGCTCTTTGACGGCCAATGGTGACCGGGTTGAACCGAATCTGAAGCAACCTGAATGCCTCAAAACCGTTGGGCCTCCTGGCTTGTCGAACCAAACTCCTGGCCTCACCCAATGTGTACGTGGTCAGCATGGCGTAAACATTTGTATCCGCATACTGTACCAACAATGGGTCCAAGTGCGGAAAATGCAACAAAACATCACCCTGCGTCATGGTTGTCTTCTGTTGTGATGTTGCAATCCATTCCAACACTTCATAGATACCAGGCATGTTTGAATCGCTCAATGTAATGATGCTATCGGCCCAATCCAAAAAACTACTCCTCCCATCCGTTGGATTGAACACTCCTGGCTTGCCCAACTGTTTACTATCAACTCCACCTTGTTGAATTGCATACGCAACAGCCGGACTGGTCCTGATGCTCCCGGAACTCGGACCTCCAATGTTGAACACTTGAGGTCCTCCCAACCCAGATGCCGCTGCCCCCGTCATCCCTCCAACAACCTGTGACCCGGCTGCAGACACACCGGCTTGCACAGGAGGGGGTAGATGCACGGGTGAACCACCTCCTGCTGGGGTCTGTTGACCTTGTGATGCCGGAGGATTTGGAGCGGGACTCAAACCTGTCGCCAACTGAGCTTGTTGCTGTTGTACCTGTTGGATCGCTTGACCCATCTGTTGCATCTGATCCTGCAATGTGGTCAAGATAGTTCCAACTTGGGTCAACTGCTCCTGACTCTGTTGCTGCTCATGATGAAATCCCGCTTGCACCTGAGATACCACTTCCGTCACAACCTGCTCTGTAACAGCCTGTGTAGCTTGAACTGCCGACCCAGTACCCTGAACTGCTTGGCTCAACGACTCGATCTGGGCTCTCTGCTGTTGCTGCTCCTGAAGCATCTGTTGTAAGGCCGAAGTCAAGGCGGCAAGATCTGGCTGTGCACCATCGGTCGCCATGACCAAATAGTCAAGACTGAAAACAATCCCAACCAACACAACCAATGCAATCAACGTTTGCAGCCCAATCCAACGCCAATGTACCCACCGTGCTTCACCGAGCACGACAACTCCGGCTGAGCGCTCTCGCTCTAAGGGCTGGGGAATCGGTGTCCTCCTAGCCCTCATGCCATGGCTGCTGGTTGGTTAAGCGGCCCAGCTCCGCTACCATGCGAAACCGTTTGCGGTCTTTTCACGGCTATCGGTCGGTACAGGTACTATACATGATCATAGCCATAAGGCCTTGACCTCAACCCTTGACAGATTTGGACCGGGTGAGGGTGAGGCCCAAAACTTTCACCCAGATTTCCCAAAACCCGACTCGACCAGGCCAGGTGCTGTGTCCAAAGTGGTCGAGCCTGACCCCACGGCGGACATCCACGACACCCCGGACGGCCCCGACGGGATCCGCAGAGTGCGGGCGAAAACAAACGTGACTGACTTGAGGGACTTGAGGGCCTTGTCATGACTTGCTTGGTCATTGTTCTTGCCGGCCATCTAGGTCTAGGTGTCTCCTTGCACTCGTCACGTGTGGCTTGCCGTGTGGCTTGCCGTGTGGCTTGCCGTGTGGCTTGCCGTGTGGCTTGCC